TCACATCGGTCGTTTTAAACAACTTTCAAGGTTAATTATATATAAAATATGTGCAGAGAATCTTTTTGACTGATTAATGCATGCCTTGTTTTAATATGAAGAATTTAATCTCTAAAAGGTAATTATTTACACATGTAAAGATTTGTATTTGAGGGGTTCAGAAAGAGTGAGAGATTATGCGGGAATTGCATAAATATTGTGAGTTTTTTTTTTTTTTTTAATGATGATAATATTCTAAATGATTCTGATTGTATTTTTTTTTTAAAAAAAAAAACTTAAATAAAATACGTAAACCGCAAGCTTTGCTGCGGCATTTGCTCTCGCAAAAAAAAAAAATTGTGAAACCTATTTATTTCCGATCATTCGTTCAACGTTAAATTACATTAGGACGATGAGTCCGAAGAAACAAATTAAACTCAATAAATAAAATAATTTAAGAATTTATTTCATGCAAAAATCGACCGACTTTTTAACGTCTTGTAGTATCAGGGGTCATGTGTTAACTTAATTGTAAACAAATAAATTTCACATTTCTGAACAAATAAATTTCTTTTAAATCAAATTTATTTTTAACATGTTATGCAATCCGATTGGTATCCATGAACATTGGCATAATAAGCCGCAGCATCAAGCATGTGCATAATACTTTAATTTGAATCTATAAACAGTTTTATAAATATTTTAAATTTGTGCAAGGATTGCTAACACCTTAGACTTGCCTAAGAAGGTCCATTAAAATGATTTGCAAGAGGTTTTTCTTTTTTTAAAAAAACAAAAATTTAATGTTTCCTAATTTGGTTGACTAATCAAACAAAAAGCTTTTTCAACCTTAAATTGGGAAATTAAAAGTCATGTCGCTATAAGATCGAGAACAATTTTATTATTTAAATCAATTTTAAGTTGCATAATAACGCAGATCCTTTCATATTATGCTCTTTACACATTCAGAGAGAATATGTTTCAATAAACCTTTATTAGGTTTAACATTTCCATAAAATAACCTTTGTCTTTTAACCTTAGTTTCACGCATTGATCAATTTTCATTACTCATTACGCCCATCATAATCGAATGTCTTAAATATTGTTTCGGCACAAGCCCTTCAATTGGAATTGATTTGTCGCATAAATAAAAAAAATTACGTCCGGAAAATGATCATAATATAGACTTGGAACTTAAAGTTTAGGCATCTAAATTTATCAGACGCATGATTTCACTTGTTTTATACATCGGACAATCCTTTCTTTAACTCTGATAGGATTTCAACCGACTTAGTATAATAATAATAATTAATTAATTTTCATTCAACTATGAAATGGCTTAATTATTTTGGCAAAATAAGAATTAATTTTACCTTGCCTTGTTTCTTTAAATTGATTGATTTGATTGATGTTGATTGAGCACATGGATGACCGTGCAGATTTATTATTGATAAGTTGCCTAATCAGAAAGCGAGTTAATTTTAATTGCATTTCATTTCAGTGGATCATATGACATCAAGCCACCGCACATATGCGTTATGAGTGAATCAATATTAGAAACTTTAAATGAACTCGACCATTTCGCCATTATAACTCATGCGATGCATTCGCAATTTAGGATACCCAAAAAACCTTTCTTGAAACTGTATATTTGTTTAAAGTGTGCATAATAGAGATTAAAGTTGCACATTTCTAGAGGTAGATACTGCAAGTAATGGACAAGTCATTTGGAAAAGTGAGAATCTTTGGTCAAACCGATCTCACACAACAAATATTTTGTTGATTTGAATATGCCAAATTTGGTAATTCCGGCCGAATCTTCAAAAAAGGAAATATTTAAAAGGTATGCATTGCATGTAATTTCATTTGAGCATAATCAGGTGAGGACAAAAAACACGAGAAAAATTTTTTAAGGTTACATAAATTTAATTAGTATCGAAAATTTAATCGTCAACTTGCCCAAAGTTGAAGTCATTTAATATGTAAAAGTTGATAGAAAGATTGCGTGATTTAATTCTTGAATAGATGGAATTTTGGCGATTCTTCTTTAAGTAAAAGAAAAAAAAAATGAAATGAAATGTTCCTCAATAAAAATTTAATTGCGCTATCACGTGATAAAATGTATAATGAGATGAATTGACTCCAATTTATAATTCAGGCCACCATTAAGAAAATCACCCAAATCATGGAGTCAGAGTCTGTAAACAACCCGAGCCGACTCTAACCATTTTCAAATGGTCGCAATTTTCTAATTAATTCAACAAATTGAAAATTTTCACGATAAGGCATATAGCATACTGTAAATCAGCTTGAATAACTTTCATAGGTATTATAATATTACTAAAAGATGCTTGTGGAATAAATTCTGGCCAATGCTTATGAATCTGATGCAAAGCCTATTTGTTAAGCCAATTTTTTATAATAGCCAAAGTAAACCCATATCTGGCTTTCTTATCTCACCTGAATGCAACTTTGAATCTGTTCAATAATTTCATAATTTTGAAATACAATTAAAATTATTGATTTTTATAAAATATCCATGAGATTCATAATACGGGAAACTGTTGATGATAAATTATCATCACGGCGTCACAGCGTGATGTCACGATCCTGGACTTTTTTTACTTGATTGATTGATTATAATCAACTTTTTTGAACCTTGCTCATTCCTTATTTAAAACATTTATCTCGCTCAGCGTATAGTGAATATTTATTTTTTTATTTTTTTTTTGTTATTAAATTTTTCTATTCTTAATGTAAAAAAAGAATAAACCTTTTTCATAAATCCAATACCATTTAATTTTACTTAAAATTGGATTACAATTCTGTTGCATGATCTTTCAAATCAAACTGTACTGTAGGAACAGGGAGTAATTGCCGAAAAAATTAAGTTAATACTAATGCTGAACATACAGTATCTCGTTATAAAAAATAATAAATTTGAATTTTCTCTCCTTTCTATTGCAAATGTTCTATATATTCTACGATAAAAAGATAGATGTTAATGAATATAAAGTCAAGCTATTGATGTATCATTCACCTAATTCCACAAATTATCTCGCATGATGAAACAAACGTACGCGTAATGTAGTTTTACATGGAAAGTTATACGATATTCAAGAACATATCATAAAACTGTTCAAGGAGTTATACAAAATTCATATTTTGAATTCATTTCATTTCAAATCTTTAGAAATTTATTAATCAAAATCCTACATTTAATATTCAAATGTTTCAAAAATAATTTTATTCTTAATGAAAAGCAATTATAAACATATTCGCAGTTTAAACTTATACTACTCTCGTGAAATGATCTTAAAAAAAGTCATGAATGAACTAATTAGAAATCTCTACGAAGTTGATAAAAAAAAATTTATTGAAATAATACGTAATATTAAAATTTTCCCATAAATTTTACGAATGATTAATGTGATTAATAATAAAATTATGTTAACTATTCATTTGAGAGGGGTTGAAAGGCTGACTAAATCGACTACAGAATTTGTTTCTTAAAACCTTATCATACTCGTAAAAATCTTTTTTATTAAAATTATTATGTACTTTTAACATTTAATATTTCTCTATAAACAATTGTTCTTTCACGTAGCATTTTATTCTTTTTTCATTTCAGTTATATTACATGATAAGTGAAATCACTGATAGTTTCATTTTTTTGTCGCTTGACATGGCAAAGGTGATCGTCATTCTAAATTTGATTTTTTTTAATGAGTAACTCTGCATTTATATCGCTAACTTCTCATATTCTCTTAAAATCTTTGTAAAATATCAAAATAATCATAATAATTTACACAAAATTGAAACACATTTTAAATCGTATCAAAACTGGATGATTAGAACTATTTAAAAGACAAAATACTTCAATGAAATAAACGTTATACCCTTAATGCAACAATAGATAGATTATCTTTTATGTGATATGTTTACAATTCTAACTGTTTGCAGTATCATTGGCTGAAAGGAATGAAATAGAGATTCGATACGATTGTAAACGAATCTGGTAATATAAAATCCCCAAACCGAGTTTTTTTATTTTTGTTGCTTAATTGTGAATATTGAATATTTCATAAGTATATTCGATAGAATTTTCTTTTAAAGGTTATATATGATTTTAATTTTTTAAATTGCATCAATCTATTTGATTTGTTCTCCGGGGACAATGAGCCCCTTCAGGATTTACAGTTAGTTTCGAATTCATTTTCTTCAACCGGTTAAATATTTTATAAACATGGAATTGGATTTTAATTCTTACATCAAATATTTCATCAATATTAGACGAATTCTTTCTAAATTTAAATTGAAATAATATATTGATATGCAAAATATTAATAATATACTTAATCATAATTACTTTATATTTACATGTGGAAATTCTCTTCAATTTCCCACGACAATGCAATGTTCAAGAAAATATGTATAGCAGAAAATTAATTATTTTGTATTTTCGATAATTTTGTGGTAGGATAAAAAAAAAGGTAACACATTCAGATTCTTTTAGTCAATCATCTCCGTGACGCGGAACGAAATTACTAAGAATATCATCCGATATTGGATCTTGCCAACTCGCAATAGGGTTCGTAATAAGAATCCTAATTCGAAATATGATAATTGGAAATAATTCGTGGAATCCAAATCGTACGATAAAAATTTTTATAATCACAATTATGTAAGAAGTTTTGTGTATCGGAACCAAGTGCTTTTTGTAAAGTCGAAAATACTTTTGTGATTTTCCATGATTTCATATCTAAAGAAATTTCTGTTTCCTAAAAAAAAGAAAGTCATTAAAAAAATATTTTCTTTTTGGACAATCAGCTGTTTCACAATAATAGTATAATAGTATGATACCAGGCCACCTGATTATTTTGCAGCCACACGACTTGCTCTGAGATATATATAACACAGTCACATCCTGACTATGCAATATTTTTTACACTTAAAATCAAAAATGCTATCCGAAATTAAACCTGATGTTTTAGATAGTTTAGATTTATATAGTAACGATAATGAAAAACCTTTCGGTCGTTGCCCAGTCAAAGGCTGCAACAAAACATGCTATGCTCCAGCTTGGTGCGATACATGCGATCGAAAAGCACTTGTTAAAAAATGGTCGTTGAGAAATGATAATATTGATCTATTATTAATTCTATTAATTCAGGAATCTCAAAGATGGGCACCTGATTATTACAATTATTTAGAATTCATCCCTTACGATCATTTTGAAAATATTAAATTTATAGAAGAAGGTGGGTTCAGAGAAATTCCTAAGGCGACTTGGTTTGATGGAGTTAAAATCGCAAATGGTTTCGGAGAAATTTCTAAAGCGACCTGGAATGATGGAGTTAGGATCGTAAAAAAAGAAAAAGGAACTTGGAAAAAAGCACGTAGTGGCCCATGTACCATTTTATTAAAGGAGATAAAGGAATCAGAAAATATTGATCAAGATTACATTAAAGAATTAAAGGCCTATATCACGTTTCACCGGTCAGATTATTGCAGATTTTATGGAATTACAAGAAACCCTAATACAAAGAATTTCATATTAGTAATGGATTATCCAAATTTTGGTCCTTGTTCAAGATGCAACAATGAATTCAATGCTCCCTCTTGGTGCAATTCATGCGATCGAAAAGAACTTGTTGATAAATTTGATACTTGGTCATCAGGAAATGATAATATTGATTTATTAATTCAGATATCCCAAAGAATGGCTCCGAATTATGAAAATTATTTGGAATTCATTCCTTACGACCATTTTAAAGAAATTAAATTTATTACAAAACATGGTTTTGGAGAAATTTCTAAGGCGATTTGGATCGATGGCATTAGAATCACAAAAAAGGAAAAGTTTTTAATGCGACTTCCATTGGTAAAAAAGAAAAATTATGATAGTTGGATCAAATCTCGTAAATGTCCAAATGTCATTGCGTTAAAGGAGATTAAAAAATCAGAAAATATTAATCAAGACTACATTAAGGAGGTAATGTTAATAATTTTCCAATCTTTAAAAATGTAGATCATATATTGATTTTAATTATACTTTTAGGTATTATCATTTATTTGTAATTTAAAGGCCAATACTGATTTTTACAGCTCAGATATATACAGATATTATGGAATTACACAAAACCCAAATACAAAGAATTTCATATTAGTAATGGATCTAGATATTGACGAAAATCTTCCAAATTTCGGCCTTTGTCCAAGTTGCGACGATGGTTACAATGCTCCTGCTTGGTGTGATACATGCGATCAAAAAGCACTTATTAATAAATTTAATACATGGAAAGCTCGAAACGAAAACGTGAATCTATTAATTCAGGAAACCCAAAGTTTGGCTCCGGATTATTACAATTATTTGGAATTTATTCCTTACGACCACTTTAAAGATATTAAAAAAATAGCAGAAGGTGGTTTCGGAGTAGTTTTTACGGCAATTTGGAATGATGGCATTAGAATCGCAAAAAAACAAGATAATGGAATTTGGATCAAAACTCGTAGCGAACCATGTATTGTCGCATTAAAGGAAGTTAATAATTCAAAAGAGATTGATTATGAATACATGAATGAGGTAATTTTCAATATTTATACAACCTTAAATTTTGTATTATTTTCAATTATATTCTTAGGTATTCTTACTTTTTTTTTTTTTTTATCAGTTAAAGGTCAATATCGAACTTCACAGGTCAGATAATTGGATAGTCTGCAGATATTATGGAATTACACAAAATCCAATTACAGAAAATTACATATTAGTAATGGAATATCTACCAAAGGGTGATATTAAAAAGGAAATATTTAATCAAGGAAAAGACCGATTGAAGTGGCAAAAAAAACTTCAATATCTGTACTTAATTTGTAACGGCATTCGTGGCATCCATGAGCTTAACTACATACATGGTGATATTCATAGCGGAAATATTCTTTTAAAATATACCAGTGATATCTGCATCACAGATCTTGGCTTGTCTAGACCTGCAAATTCTAAAGAAGCATCTCAAAAACAAGTAAATCCTTCATACTCAGCACCAGAGATATTGCTTAATAAAAGTCCCAAATCAAAAGCATCTGATATTTTTGCAATTGGTATTCTCATGGTAGAATTTGCCTCAAATAAACGTGCGTTTGAAAATTACAATAATAGCAATGACATTACGATAGAAATCACCAAAGACGACTTTGAACGACCCGAATTACCTCCCAATACTCCAAATTGCTATGTTGAGTTAATAGAGAAATGTCTAGATAAGGATCCAAACCAACGTCCATCCGCTGAAGAATTAGTGAAATCCATATCAGGTTGGCTCAAATATGATTGGAAATCAAAATCCAACTCATTTAACATTGCTGATAAGCAATGGAAATGCAATGAATCTAAAGAATAAACAAAAATTACATGAAAGTTAAATAAAATTTAATCTTGATAGTTTATTTTGCGAACTTTGTAATATTTTGTTGATAAACTTTGCAATATTTTTTTATTATAGTTATTAAATAGTAAAATTATTAAATAAAAATTATAAATTAAATTTAGAAACAGTACAGTATGAACAATCTCCTATTTATTGTCTCTCATAAAGTTGCCTGACGAAATCTAGTTTCGACAGGTTTCGACAAGTTAGTTATATGATTTTATTAAGGTTCGATATTCGACGGTCTGTCTAAACCCAGGAGTTTCGTCAGGCAACTATAGTCTCTCATAACTGAGATATAGAGTGTTAAGTTCTTTAGAAACTTGTTTAATATCGAGTCGATCTTCTTGCTCTAAGGAGCCACAACTATCGATTATACTTTTAAACTTTGGAGGAGTATCTTTGCCAATTTCACCTGGACCTTTATCAGCTTGCAATTGTTCCGGTAACTTTGCTAATAAATCTTCGGTTAGAATATTCTCAAACGGTTTTTTTCTTGAAGCGATTTCCCAAAGCAATACTGAAAAACTGAAAAAATAGTTAATATGTATTAATAAATATTGATCGGACTTCTTTATTTTACCTATACATATCACAATTTTTACACCATAGATGGGCCCCTCCTTTAAATCGTTCAATTGGAAAATACCTATTTTAAAACGGGATAATGTTATTAATTTCAATACTATATAATGAGAATATTGGTGTTTTCTTTAGAAAGGAAACCGTATTTAAAAAGGATTACTTCATAAGTTCATATGTCATCCAAAAGTCTGATGATTTTTTCTATAGAAAACACCTTAATAATGTTGCGTAAAAAAAAGATTACCGCATTCCGTCTTGATTCGATAAAGGTCGAGTCCCTTCGAAAGAAAACTTGGCTTGCTCAAATCCCGTGAGCTTAGCATTCTTATCTTTATCAATTAAGACATTTAAACTAAGTAATTGTAAAGAAAAATAGATAAATATATTGATGATTTGGAATCTTAAGACATATAAATAAGTAAATGTATTAATTACCTACGAAGATTATGATGTAGTATTTGACTATTATGACAGAATTGAATTGCGGAAGCAATTTGCGTTGAAAATTTAATGCGTTCAGACCAAGGAATTTCAATATCTTCTTGAAGATACAGTTCAAGGTACCCGTATTCAGCCCATTCGACTACGATATGCAAATTTCCGCTTGAAGCACACGTTCCTTTGCTATAACAGATAAGGATTTCGTATAGGTTTTCAAGGATGGCATTGACATTCAATTGAATATATACAGTATAAGAAAACTTACAATCTGAGAATCGAATTACACGCACTAAGCTTCAAATGATAAAAAGCTGCTCTATTAATCTTGTCTACTTCATTTTGATCTTGTGGAAATTTGACTTTTATTATAGCAACTGCTTCCCCATTATAGTATTTTTTTTGAACTCGGTCACTTTTACCTCGAACAACCTTGTCATTGTTATCAGGTTTCTCAATGTCAGTGTCACGAAGTATAATATCGTTGGGGTTAAAATCAAACCCTCTATTTAAGTAATTCAAGCTCACCAAAGCATCCACTTTATCGCTTAAATTACCTACAATACTGCACATTTCTATGTTCATTTCAAAATGAAATTCTTTCATTGCATCATCAAGTTTCTTTATAAGTTCCTTGTAAACTTCATTCATCTGTGCATAAAGTAAAGTCAATAAAATTTGATTTAAAACGATCTTTTTAAGGGATGGTCATTTTAGAATTTATGAAAACGATAATACTTACGTAAGAAGCTTTTACAAAAGAAAGGAGCTTTTTTCGAATTTTCTTTTTATTCTCCGGATCTTCGTTATTCCCCATGTCTTTAATATACAGATCAATATGTTTTAAAACTTCAATGTAATGCTTGTATGCTCGATTATATTTTCCTTCATCAAGTTTATGACTGTTCAGTTGTTCTTGCGCTTTGCAGACTTTGTCCTTAATATCTTCCCGAATTTCTTCATTTTCTATTTGAAGTTCGACTTGCTCTTGAATTTTTTCCACAATTGCAGAAGCCGTTTGCAATAATGGAACGTTTTTCCCAATTTCTATGATCCTTTTCAATATCGAAAAACCCGTTTTCAATTTCAATTTCAATTTATCATTAACCATTTTTATCTTTTTTTTTTTTTGTTGAATTTCGTTAAGTTATTTATACTATAGTTTATTAGCCTATTTATACGAATTAGAATTTTAATGGCATTATGTCTAAATACTTTCATTTTCATTTTTTTTTTTTACTGGCAGAAAGGGTGGTATGATAAAGATTATTAAAGACTTTAAAATCATATGTTCAATTAATTTATCATGCAATATCAGTATATCAGTTACTCGTAATACATCAATACTAAGTATTACTGCATGATCTCCGGAGAGAATCAAGGCTCCATCAAGCAAAGCCCGGAGAAAAATTCACCGAGCTCCACATCTCGATAGACAATGATATTAATAACGATTTTGCATTCAAAAAAAAATTATTTTCTAAAAAAAAAAATACCTTAATAAAAATAAAATGAAGTGACCGTAACACGATTTGAAAGGTACCGAGCTGCAAAATCGTACCCCTATACTCTCAAATTATGCAAGAGAATTCTAAAAAGGATAAAATCGGTATGATCCATCCTGCCGAGAGTTTTCCTTCAAGAAAACTGTATGCATCATTGCATCACGAGACGCCAAATGATTTTGTTGCATCCAGACCTTTCGCAAATGTAAAAATGGTTGTGGAACCTGACATAACAATGGCACAATACATATTTGATAAAGTCTTCACTTTTTAAAGCGACGATTCAGAGCAAAATTCTCAACTCAAATATGGTGAAATTAACATTAATTGCTTTAAGATCAAAGTAGCATGTTTCAAAATTTTGAAAATTTACGATGAATTGGTTTATCTTTTATTTTTATTTGCTTTTTAAGAGAATTGCCATGAAACGTGATAATAAATAAATAAATAAAAAAAAAATGCAAGAAAAATATACAATTATAAAATTACAAGAAAAAAAATTCTAAGAGAGAAGAAAAAATGAAATTGAGTGCATATAATGTGAATTTAAATGTTATAATGATTTGAAACGATAACTCTTTAGGAAAAACACGACATCTTCTTAAATATTTTTGAGATTTTTGATTTAAATTTCTTAAATCCTTTTTGTTTTTTGAGCTCTTCGAATTCTTTGTCCATTCGAGCAAGCGTTTCTGGAGATATTGGTTCGCTAAATGAATACATACACAAAGAGAAAATTAGTTTTAAGTAAATTCCAAAGATTTTATATATATATATATAGATAGCTTATATTATTTACCTTAAATTAGCATCTTGATATTTTGATACCGGAAGTTGTATTGATAATGGTTTTTCTTTTTCGACCGTTGAATCTTTTTGTGAATTTTGTGAAGATGATGGATTTAGGTAATCATGAGATTTCCTTGATTCCTCAGATGAAGCTCTTATATCTAAAAGTAAATAAATAATCAAATTGGTTTTTTTTTCTTTCATTCGTTTAATTTAAAAATTCAATATGACAATTACCAGCAATAACCAAACTATTCGTTAAAGATTTTCCAACGATAACGGGATCATCGTATAAGAAACCATCTAATTGATCACAAATTTGTTCAATATTCGGTCTCATGTTAGGTTCATGATCCCAACATTGTTGATATAATTGTATATATTCTTCAGGAGTATTTGGTACGGGTTGTTCACGGGTTTTTCTGACCATTATGGCCATCGTAAGTATAACCTGGCTTCCAGATTTGCCAAATGGTGGTTTACAACTTGATATCTCCCACATGATTACACCTAAGCTATAAATATCTGAGCGTTGGTCAGGTTTATGTTTCATATCTCCCATAACTTGTGGGTCAACGTATGGTATCGTGGAAAGGATTGCGCTATTTAATGTTGATGATGATGATGTTTCGTCATCTTCAAAACCGAATAATCCCGGGTCCCTTATAACAGCTTTGCCGTCGTCAATAAAAACACTTTGTGCATGCTATCATAGAAAAAGGTTTAGTACAACTTTTGTTTTAGGGAAGAAAGATGCGACGGAAAAAAAAACTAACCAAATCTCCATGAACAAATCCTGATCGATGTAAATGTCTTATTCCTTGTGCGATGTCTTTTGCTAAATTCAACTTCTTGAACCATTCTAAATCTGGGTACTGCGCCAAATATTCTCTTAGAGTACCATCTTTAGGATATTGTATTACAAGTATGGCACTTTTATCTGATGGATCTAAAAGGATAATTTTTTTTGCCGAAATATTAATCACCATCGTGCTTATTTCCCACGTATATATAAAAGGAATGATTCATACCTTCAGTTACTCCGAGTAATTGTATTATATTTTCACAGGTTTGATTCAGTAAAGCACGTCGAATCTATTTAATATAAAGGATTAGAGAATTTACAATTTACAATTAGATTTTTTTTAAAAAAATGTATTTTCTCGCAAAATACGTGGCACGAAACTTGCAGTATATGATATATAATGGTGTATGTAGTTGGGGGAATTTACCTCTTCAATAAATTTCCTATGATGGTCTTCAATACTATATCCGGGGACGGATTTTAAGAAAACGGGACATGATTTTTCTTTCCAAATGGCCTCTCTCACATTATCACCATATAAATCACTTTTTATTTCGTTAACATCGACAAATCCGTTGAAATTGATAAATTCCACATTCATTTGATGTGCAATTTCTTCAATTGCATTAGAATAAGATTGTTGTAATTTCAAGGATAATTCACTACTCTTTAATAATAATGAATTTGAGATATTTGTGGATACATTTATTACTTGTGTCATTTTTATTGTGAAAAAAAAAGTACAGAGGTGATATTAAAAGGTATTAAAAAATCAAATTGTTTTTCACAGTGATTTGAGGGAAGAAAAAAAAATTGGGTATTGATCAAATGATTTTTTTTTTATAAAAAAATTTTAGGGAGGGCCAAGCAAAATTTAGAACTTATATAATCCTTTTTTTTCAACATGCCGATTATAACTCCTTTTTATTGTTATAATAATCCTTTTTGTAATTAAAAGTAATACAAGTATTGCATCATATAAATATCAATAAATAAACTATTTCATGTAAATCAAAATAATATGATTATTATTTCAACGTGATGACATGGCAGCATGTTACATCCAAGGAATATTATATGTCCGATGAAATTCATTCATAGAATAAAAGTTTTACCCAAAAGTCGATGACGGGTCTATCGTTATTTAGCTAGAAAAATCAATAATTATTTCGTTAAAATCCCTCTGGAGGTTATGATGTTTATCAAGAGACGTCAATGATGTTTTAGATTAAATGCATATAATGATGCATATAAACAAGATAATGACTAGAAAAAGATAATGACAGGTAAAAAAAAAATTCTCTTGATTTTTGATTAACCAATTAAATTAATTTCCTGTTTGCAAACAAGAAATTCGGTAACGATTTTCCGCATTTTACATTTTTTTTGTTCCGCGAATACTTATAATCACTTGAAAATACCGTTTGTACTCTCTCCATTAAATTCATATTTGATTGTTCTCGTTATGATCAAAAACTTGATTCAAAAAAAAAAACCTTCACGAGATAACAATACAATCTCAAAAAGAAATCTAAATAACTGATGATTCTATGTTAGAAACTTTGATCTCAATCTTTTTTCCAGCTTTTGAAATATTATTATTTTTAGAAAAATTTTCCGATACAATGGGAATTTTTTTAATGTATCTTTTATATATACACATGTGTGTATATATAAAATTATAGAATAAAAATCTCATGACTTAAAATATAACAAAAACCAAAGAGCGATCATTCGAATTTCTTTTTACTTGCATACATCTGCATACGATGTTTTGATTGTGATTTTATTATTTGTTTATTGTGAAAAATTAATTTTGTGGAGAAATGATTTTTTCCTTTTGATAAGTCTGGAGACTATGGAATTTATTTTTTTAATTTCTCCGAGTAATTTTTAATAGTTGGAACCGTTTTTGTAACGATAAAAAAAAAAAAAAGGTCAGGAGACAGATTCGCCGCCGCAATTAACAATCCCTTTTTTTTTTGGAAACCATATTTTATGAATGGAAATTTTCGTAATTATTGTTTTTTTTTTTTTGATATTCAATAGAATTTAATATGGTATAGATTATATCAAAATTCCAGAAATTCTGATGTTCGATTTCTTTCTAAACTGTAAAAAAAATTTTTTTTACTCTCTCTGAATAAAGGTTGATTGTTCGATAATCCTGTTTAAACACATCATTTACACATTATTAGCACAAATATAGAGAATTGATTGTCGTTCTTAAATTTTTTTCTTTTTTTTTTTCAGATGGAAATAAGGTTGAATGATTTCAATTGTCCCATGTAGATACATATCATGCATGACATCTTTCCTTGATTTAATGGTAACAGAAACAAAGAATATGAGAAAAAAGGTCAGAGAATAGAAAAGATGTGTGAAACGTGAGATGGGGAAGAAACAATGTGTTCAATGCGGAGTGTTTGTGGAGGAAGGCACGTTCAGTATGCAAAAATAAAGTGGGGTTTCGCAGCTTTCTTGCAAATCGACATGGTTTATGCTTATTATATAATGTAGTAGTATGTGTTACGTTCTTAATACAATACAAATACTGGACCTGCTGCGGCGAACATGATGCAAATCGGGCGGGGATCCTTTATTTTTTTCTATCTTCTCATGAGCGAAAAAAGAATCTCGGTTTCGAAAGGACAAAAATCAACGGATGTATCCGAATAATCTTTCAATCGATCAGTTCGAGATCTCAACGATACGACCATTAAACATGCAATTTTTTTTAGTGTAATAAAAATCTCGGAGAAAATTTGTAGTAATTATCCAAAATCGGGCAATACATATATATTGACAACAGAATATCTGAAACACATCAAAGAAAGGTTCGGAGGACGAAAAAATTTTTTTCTCTTGTGATACGTGAAACATTTGTTTAACCGGCATTAGGATACATTTTTGATGGATTTTTTTTTTCTTGTTCAACCTTTTGATTCTAATTAGGGAAAATTCTTTTATGAACGAACTCGTTAAAGGATTAGAGTGATCAACACACCGAATGTTCATTTTTTTTATTATTATTACATTGTTGTTATAGATCGTAATGATTGGCCCTAATTTTAACACGTCAATGACAAAAATCTATATAAGACCTTGGTTAAATTTATGTAACTAGAACTTTTTAAAGTTTGGGTTACAACAAATTTTGGTTACATTGTAACAATACATACATAGATAGAATGTTCAATACAAATAATCAAAAAGGACGATCCGTTTCCATTCTTCTAACTAACTATACTAGTGAATGAAACAATTTACTTTTACAGACAATATTGAAATCGTAGTATGAAAAGGATTGACATAAAAAGATTATTATTGTTCTTACAACAGAGAGAGGGAGAAAAAGAACGGAGTAGAAAAAAAGAAAAAAAAAAGATTGAAGAATGACATTTCCAAATTTAATGTTGTAACCTTGCATGACCTGGCATAACAACACTAAATGGGATAATGTTTTTCCTTTAAAGTTTCTTTGATGATCTCCTTTCCCGAATAATAAATATTCTTAACCAATTTGTCAATATTTCGATTCAAAGATTTTGCCCATCGTTTATCAACATTTCCTCGTTATAATGAAACGATAAAGCTATTTCCAATTATCGTCAAAACCTTTGTATCGGTACTCGTTCCACCAATAATAACATTATTGCCTAAGCTCCATAAACATCCCCCAACGAAATAGACCGTGACCACCGTCAAACAGAATGTCCATAACACTTCAAAAATTAATGATAAAATTGCTTTAATCATATCCAAATTAATGGACCTTTTTAAAATTATAAACCAACTCATTTTGTTTTTTTTTATAAAAAAGAAAGATGTGTTTCAATAATCAAAATAGGTTTTTTTTTCGATCGTTTCTTGTAATGTTTACGTTTAAAAATTTAAATAATTGACGAAACGTTAGATCAAATTTTATTATTTTATTTTATTTTACAAAGAAAAAAAACTTTTTTTTTTCAAAGAATAAGGACTACTTTTATAACCAAATGGTGAAGGCCGGAACATATATTAACAACGCCCGTTACCAAAATAAGCTTGTCTTTTTAAGGAAGATTTAATTTATTTATTTTTACCAACCATATTTTAAAGTATCGGAAGGGCCAAAAATATCCCGAATTCAAAATATTAATTAATAATTAGTAAACCAGCATTACTAAATCATTTACGTGTGTATCACATATGAAACAAATATTTCTTTAATTCTTTTTCAATTTCAAAAACAAACAAATTAATATTATTGCATTTACCCCAAACAAGGATCTGTTGAATTTATTATTAAGAATAATTCATAGTTCACAAGACATAATATGAAAACGATGCGAAGATGTTATTATACTTATTTATAAATTGTTTTCGACGATCTCAGATACCCAATTTAAGTTCAGAAATGAAATAAGGAAAAAAGGATACAATACAAAATACTTTTTAACAATACAAAATTCAACTTTACAAAAAAGGTTCACATTTTCAATAATGCAACATTCAACAAGAATACAAAATACAAAATTCAACATTTTAAAATATAACTTTTTTTTTAACATGCAACTTCTAATAAAATTCGCTATCTATTCTATCTACTATATCTACTAGAGATTAATTCTCAGTGCTAAGGTTTTTTGTTTTCAGAAAAAAAAAGTGCTTAATGATTTGCCATTAGAAATGGGCTGCAGGTAATTAATTACCTTGTATGGATTCTCTTAAAATAGCCAAATGGACAGACAAGTTCAATTGGTTGCTAAAATGTGGGTACTTGTATCCCAATAACGCGAGCTCTTAAAAGTATTGCCATTCCCGGTATTATGACACAAAAATTAATTGAGCTACTGTAGTTTTTGTAATCGAATATCAGCCAATTCGAAGATCAAAGATTTTCGAATACAGCTCTATTTTTACTACCAAATGGAACATTGTGATAAATAACTCTATCCCACCTTGTAGAATATGTATATTATAATATAATAGGAAATGAATTTTCTTTAGGAAAAAAAAAAAAAAAATTCCGAGAACATTAGAAGAAATCTTTTTTTGTTACAAAAGTTTTTACTCCCAGAAAGGAAGGAAACCTTGGTAATCTGTGTAAGCGATTTTTTTCTGCATGCATTATGTAACATATTAAGTCGGCATATTTTTAGATTAATATTGTTCTTTTCATTATTGACATTTAAGAAATTTTAAGGATTTGAATCGAGATAAAAAGTAATTAATATTAGATGAGGGGGTTTGTTCATGATGCAGGTACAGTCATATGTTACTCACTTCGTAAATCGATTAACCTTACTTTTTTGCATTTCAAAAAAATTCCCAACATAAAAAAAAAACTTACAATATGAGATGAGCACGTGAAAACTTCCGAAACACCTCTTCCCACTTTTTGTCAGGTCTAGGGCAAGGAAAATGTTTAATTCTAAACATATTTGATTCTTCCACAACTCAAGAATTACATTACACTACCCTTTTTTTCCTTATTGATTTTTTAGTTTCTTTTGTTTTGTAGATCTCTATATCTTGTAATAAAAAAACTTGTTAAATCTTGATGAAATGGAATTAAACTTAGTAACATGATAAATACTGTACATACATGAATAAACCAAATTATTAATATATTTTTTTGTTAATAAAATAAACCTAATAGATTGGTATTTTTTTTTTTTTTTTTTTTTTTGTAAACTTGACAAGTTTACAATTTCTTTTTTAAATTTATTGTAATTTGAATCGTTGCAGAATAAAAAAAAAATGATCAATAATAAAGATTCTTCAATGAATGATAATGATGAACAAAATATTGATAAAGAAATCCCAAAATCCTTGATCATCAATATCGATGAAAGGAATTCGATTGATTCAATAAAAATAACTGCAGAGTTGACTAAAGTAAATGAGGAAAAGGAAGTTAATGAGAATTCTAAAGATAATCCATTTAACTGGTCCAAAAGGAAGAAATGGTTTACTTTGGTGGTACTTTCTTGCGGTGCCACTATATCTCCTATATCATGCATGTAAGTTATTTGATTTGAAAAAGTTGGGATCATTATTTTAACCGCGCGAATTTTCTCTCTTTCAATGAAAAAAAAAGTATGTTTTATCCCGCAGTATTGGAAGTTCGAAATCAATTGCATACAACTAGCATGTTGACAAACGCGTCAAGTGAGTAGAATTGGATCCGTAAAAAAAGATTTTATTTTTTCTTTAATATCAAAATATAAATTATTTTTTTTTTTATGTAAAGTCTCAATATATCTAATTTTTCAGGGCATTGGAGTAAGTTAACCGCATAAATCCTTTTGAATTCATCGAATAAAGATATATTAATTTTTGTCTTTATATAGCCATTGGGATGGGCAGCCTATTCTGATTCCAGACAGACTCGTAAAAATGTTTATATCTTTTCCCTAATTCTCTTCATCGTAGCTTCAGTGATATGTGCGATAATAAACAATATTTGGTGGTTGATTATAATAAGAATTATACAAGCATGTGGTTCCAGTGCTTTGCATGCAATCGGACCTACGACGATAAGTGATATGTTTTTATCCGAAGGTATTTTTTTTTTTATTTTTTTATTTTTTATGAAAAAAAGAAAGCGCGTCAAAATTAAATATTTTACTGCGCTTTACCTTGGACGAATTCATATATTCATTCATTCATACATTCAATTCGTTTTTAGAACTTGGAAACGCATTTGGATTCTTTTATTTATTCCCAATTATTGGACCTTTAATGGGACCGGTTATCGGAGGTTATGTTACAGAATATTTTGGTTGGAGATGGTAAGTTAAAAAATATAATCGTCGTACGTTATCTGAACGGGGAATAACTAATTATTTTAAATTTATTCTTCTTTTTTTAGGATATTTTGGCTAATGGCAATAATGGGAATTATAGTGTTAATACTTATATTCTTTTTCGTTCCTGAAACTTATCCGAAACGAAAACCCAACACCACAATTACCACCACCTCCGTCTCCTCCTCTTCCCCAAATTCTTCCAATAGGAAATTTATAAATCCATTTGCTCCATTATCCCTATTTCGATATCCAAATTTATCCATAATAATACTCTATTTATCGATATTACTTTCATTTATCTATTTGCAAGGAGCGTTAATCCCGATCGAATTCAGCAAGGGTTATAACTTAACCGCCGCAAAACTTGGTTTGATGTTTTTATCTCCCGCATTGGGTTACATGTTTGGTAGTGTAATCGGAGGTAGGTATGCTGATTACTTTTTGAAAAATGCGAAACGAACCGCTTTAATCGCTCAACGAAAAGAAATCGAGAAAATAATTGAAAAGGATGAAAATAATATGATTATACTTGAATCGATTCAGGTTGAACCCGAGATAAGAATTCATGGAACTTGGTTAGGTAGCATCATTGTATCTATAAGTTTTTTGGCATTCTCTTGGTTATTAGAATATCGAGTTTCAATAATATTTCCGATAATATTTATGTTTCTTGGTAAGTTTCATGTTTCTTTTATTTTTTAAAAGTTTTTTGTTATTGATTCTTAATCTCCCTTTTCTTTCATTTTTTTTATAGGAGGATTTGGACAACTCTTGGCATTTACAACAGTATTTACTTATCTGGTGGAATCATTTCCAACCCAATCCGCTTCAATTAATTCGGATTTAACATTTTCAAGGCAATTGGTCGCTGGGTTATTATCTCTGTTCTCGGTACCTATAGATGAAGCGTTAGGTGTTGGATGGACTTTTAGTTTGGTGGTGTTTTTGAATATTATTGGAACTTTATCAGTCATTGTCGTATTATTTAAAGGTAAACAATGGAGATTAAAATTTAAACAAGATTTTAATTTAAAATAGTTATAAATGAATGACAAAGGCTTTTATTATAATTATGATGTTCTTTGATTATATGTTTAATATAATATTTAAATAAATATATTCTTGTTTCTAAATATTTAAATTTTAATTGAAAATTATTCTTAATCTATTATCTTATTTATCTTATCTATAAAGAAAAAAAAATCCCCCCTCAACTTAAAAAATAAATATTAAATTTTTTTTAAAAAAAAAAGGAGAGCAAGTAAAAAGAATTAATATTAATATTATAATTATTATAATTATTATTTACAAATTTTCTTTCTTTTTTTTTATTTTATTTTTTTTAAAAAAAAAAAAAAAACAAATTTCCTTTCGCAAAAAAAAAAAAATTTAAAAGTTCAATAGTTATTATTACTAAATGATTACATATACGAAAAATGTAATATTATAAGTACAAAAAAATGTTAAAATTGATGAATGTGAAAATGTAAATAATATCATTATGGTACAAAAAATGAATGAATTAGTAATTTTTCTATATGAAAGTACTTCTAAATATAAATAATAATACATTTGTTTTAAAAGTGGACTTTTTGCGAAGAAAATCGGCTTAAAAAACATGAAAAAAAAATAGTAACTTTTTTTTTTTTAAAAAAAAAAAGGTAAGAAAAAAGAAAAGTTAAAAAAAAAAAAAAAAAGATTGTACAAAAAAGAAAATCTGATTGTTTTCTTTAACCCAAAATGACGAACCCCAAATGTAAAAAAAATTTAAGAGAATTTAAAAAGTTGGTAAAACAAATCATGACCCGCATGTTCTGTCTCTCGCTACATTAGAATATAGTTTTTAGAAAAAAGTTTTGTTTAATGTGTGTTGAAATTGATAAACATGGAATGAAATGAGTTATTGATAATGGGGGAACACGCATGCAAGATTTCCTCTACGATCCAACTTTGTCGATGAAGATGAGGTAGATACGGTACTATTTCCACCGTATGAAGCATCTTCCATGAATTGGGAATATCTGGGATTGAGATAAAGAGGATTTCGATACTTCATGTTGTTGTCCCCTAAGATGATGGTGCGACGTTTAGAGTAATGACTATGTTGATCTAATTCGTACTCGCTTATATCATCCGATGCGGTGGTTTTTCCATCATATTCATAATCCCATTCACGTTGCTTGTCATAATAATCGTAACCACCCGGTAATGTCATCGAAGAACGACTTCCGTGTGAAGGTATGGCAGCAAGTGAACTAGTAATGCTTTTTCTGCTTGCCTCTGATTTAAAACATAATGATGATGGCGATCTTTGAGGTAATCTATCCGAGAAGGAATATCCAGCAAAGCATTGCTGTAAGCTATCATCCATCGTATCTTGATTTGGTATTGACAATTTGGGTGACATGCTAACGAACGTATCATCAAAATTTTGAAGGTCTGTCTCGTGTTCAATTGTTGGGATGTAAGGAGCACGGATACGCTTATGATAAACATCATCCCAATTAACGAAATTAAAATATGAATGGGTTTTGATTTCCATGGAGCCGACAGGTCCGCATCCAAGGCGGTTCATTGGATTGCGTTGTAATAACTGAAATGAGAAAAATATATTTGAATAATTAATTTAATGCTTCATAATCGTATTTCGAATTGCTGAATTTCAAATAGTGCTTGCACACTTACGCCACGCAAGATGTCGATGGACTCGAATGTCATGTCGTCAGGAAATATAAGCTCATCTTCTAAGACGCGTTGATACATCCTGTTCTGATCTTCGGCCCAGAATGGTGTCTGCATAAAAAAAAAAATGATTGGTTTTAACAACGGATTTCACAACATAGCATAGTCATATCATCTGCCATTATTCGAATAATTCGATTAAAACTTACGATCCCGGTCATCATTTCGTAAAGTAAAGTTCCGAGACTCCACCAATCAACTGGGTAGCTGTATTCTTCGGCTCGTATTATTTCCGGGGCCTATTAATAAATACAGATATGAATATCTCTTGTGCAAACACCAAATAAATTTTGTTTTCATTTTTGTTTTCTGTCTGCTTACCAAATATTCAGCCGTTCCGCAGAATGTTTTTGTTTTTTGCCAGTTTGGTTCGAATTGTTTTGATAAGCCAAAATCGGTGAGTACTATATGTCCATCCCGACCGATAAGAATGTTTTCCGGTTTTAGGTCACTAAAGGTATAAAGTATATAAGTAAACTAGAACTTCAAAAGACGTAAAGGTCAAAGTCTATAATTTTTTTTTCTTTTTAAATACGTACCGATATACTATGCCCAAACGATGTAATTCTTCTATCCCTAAAACAATTTCCGCCGCATAGAACAGGCATCTTGCGTCATCAAATTTGTGCCATTTGGCAAGCTGAGTCGCAATGTCACCTCCAGGATAATAATCCAACACAAGGAAAAGCTGGTTGGAGTCTTGAAATGATTCGCGTAAACTAATCAGGAATGGATGAGAAATTGTTGCAATCGAAGCAAGGATGTCTCTTTCCGTCTTTGTATGCTCGACTTCTTGCCGAAATACAACCCATTCCTTGGATATTGCCTTTAGCGCAAATAATTTGTTAACATGCTTCTCACGGGATAGAAATACCTAAGCGTGAATGATGATAGTTTTATATAAGACCTCGCTGTTGATCTACAACAAATATACATATCTATGACGGGACTAAAAAATTATAATTACCTTTCCCATGCACCCTTTGCCGAGAACTTTTATTAAATCGTAATCATCAATATTCGATTTATAATATGATGTCCGCAAGGCCCTTGATCGGCGCAATTGTGACGATAAATTTTCGGATCTCGCCGGATCTTTCCATTTTATACTATCCTTATCATTCTTGACGCTGAGGAAATCTTTAAGCACGACGGAATGTTTCAAGTTGATGTCGGTTAATACTTTCCTCAAATAACTTTCGAGTTTTTCCGCGGTAGATTTACGGAAAAAGAAATGCTTCGGTAATAGGAAAGCTCTTCGACGATCATCTAACGAAGGCAAAGTCGGGCGTGGCTTTGGGAATTCTTGTCGTAGCTATCACGAGAAAGGATTGGTATTTAGAATTAAAAAAAAATGATTTTAACCTAACTAAAAATATAACACAAACCTTTTGATCGAATTCGATAAATTCCGTAATTGTTCTAGTGATGCTCAAAATTTGATTTTTATCTTCAATGGTTACTATGAATGCCTATTGTATTAATAAAATAAAACAGATCAGTTTGATTTGTCCATTTTCAAATTAATTAAAGAATTCACCACCAATAGGATAACGTCTGCATCGATTCGCAATGGTGGCACGATTGCGTAACCGTACCTATGACCCCTTATTATTATTTACTAAAAAAAAGGAAAAGAGCTTCCTCTTTTTTTTTAACTTGTGAAACGGAAAAAAACTTACAGCCGGTGAACTTGATTTTGACTTCTTTGGTGTGCTAGAGGTGGAATTCTTTGTGCTATTACTTATGTTACTAAAACTTAAAACAAATTTTTTGCTTCCTTTTTTTCGAAGTTGAGTTAGGCTATTTGAACTATTAGAGGTCACGGTGATTGTACTTTCAGTTGTGGCGGTTGTGGGTATTTGAGAGGTTGCTTTTTGATTTGACAGCTCTTGAACGGCTATTCTCAGGTTTTCTTGATCCGTTACGGTGAAGGGAAACTCTATCCTACTGTTTCTACTCGTTATACTCGTCTTTGTCATGATGTGAGAAAGTACATTACCGACCACGCTTCCACGTCGGCTTGCTCCGGAATTTTGAAAAAGTCTTCGTGGACGTTGAAAAGTAACAGCTTTTACCGTTGACCAAGGAGTTCCAAATTTGTATGTAGAACGCGTCATGGTTTCTTTTGACTTGATATTTTATTATTGTTACGAATATCAGAAGAGTTGGGATTATTTAAAATGTTTTAGGAGGGAGGACCCGACTTTTTTTTAATGTTCACGTTTTCTTTTTAGACTAGCTGATGGGAAATTTATAAAGTTGATTGATATACAGGTTTGATTTCAAGTTTCGTGACAAAAAAGGCAGGATAAAGATATAATATGCTTTTGATTGAGGTAACGGAATTTAGTATAATTGTGAGTTCATCGGTGGAAGAGGTGATATTAAATTTTTGTGAACCAATAAATCGAAATTTAAAATTCGCGTGATAGGAAAAAAAAAAAGATTGCATAAACGTTAATTATTTTTTATGTATGATGAATAAGAATATAATGGATGATATAAAAATAAAAGTTTTATTGTCACCTATTTTTTCACTTGGTGAACGGGATACTTACGTGTATGGTATTGAAGAAATCAAAATGTGGAAGGTGGGCGTGCAGGAAAAACTTATGATAAAATGATGCCGCAGATTGATCAAAAAATAAGTATAAGTTTTATACAATAAAAATTACTGAAATTTTTTGAATTTTTCCGGCTCTTGATTTATATATATGGTTTGGTATGATTAGAGATGAAAAATGTGAAATGCCGATTTTTTTTTTTTTTGATTTTTGATTAAAAAAATGATTTCTATCCCAAAACCAGTGGGAAAGAAAGGAAAATTTTTTGCGGGTTGAAAGAGTATTTAAATAATATGCCCTTCTGAATAAAATTTTGTAAAACGCGACAATAGGATGAGGGTTATATATAGAAAACTTGATGAATGTTTGTGCGATATTAAGTAAATGTACAAAGATCGACTAAAAAAAGGATTTCGGGACTTTCTTTTGTTTGGAATTTGATTCGATGCTATAATGTAGCGGAACGAACGAATTACGGTGAGATAAATTTAACCGGATAAAGTATATAATACATAAAATAAATAAATAAAATGATTATCCACCTTTAAATAAGAGGAAAGTTTTTTTTGTTGTCGTGATTTTTTTAAATGTATTCACGTGTTATAAAAATATTAATAATATTATTATTTAAAATAATGTTATCTTTCCTAATGTGTTGAAAAATATAATAATTTGTTCTTCCACGGGGTTTTCCTCTTGACCAAGGAGGCTTTGGTCATAAACAAATAGGGGAAGGCGAGGAGAAAACAACAAAAAAAAGGTTTTAAAGAAGGGGGGAAGGATAAATAAATTAGAATTAATGCGAGAGCGTTATTTAAATACTTTTAATGGATAAATAATGTGCATTTGATTACTAATAAAGAGAAATGTTTCCGACGGTTTGAAATTTAAATTATTTTCTTTGTTTCAATACGATTTTTTTAATCAAAAATAAATTTAACAATGAAAAATAAAAAAAAAATAAATAAACTAAATTATTTTGAGAGGAAAAAAAAAAGGAAAAAAAAGAAGAAAATTGATGACCTTTTGAAGAACAATTGGTACATCAAAAGGAAAATTATTTAGTAGTGAATCCCAAAGAACAATTTGCACTTTTGATAAAAAAAAAAATATATCCAGGGATCATTGCATGATATATATATAGAATGATTTTATTTTCTTTTGTTTATAAATATTAAAATAAGTTTACTATATATAGTGTACAACGCTACCTGGGATTTCCTGGGTTAATTTAACTTGACGCGATTAGCGTATGACCAAAAAATATTATCTAAAAAGATCAAAATCCAAATCAATTGGTTTATGGTTAATGGTACAACGCTTTAATGAACCCAAATACATACTTGAGGTAACACAACAATTCCGCGGAAAAAATTTTTTTTTCAAAAATTTAAATTTCAAATTATTGTATTAAAATACCACATGATCATACAGCGAAATCTTTACTGTTTTCTTATGATATCTTTTATTCTTTCATATGTTGTTGCAAGGATTTTTTTTCTCCGGAAATTTAAATAAACCGTGTTTTCGATTTCTAACATCTGGTGTTTGTAGAAAAAATAATCTCTTAGAAGAGCTCACTGATGATAACATGTTACATAATTTGTACGTCCATCAAAGCAGTGTTATTGAACATCAAACAAACAATAGATTTTCGAGTGTACCTTTCACTCACAATGGCGTCGTTCCAAAATCTCAGTTGATTAAACCCTCGAATTAAGACGCGTCAAGATTATCACATCATCCTCCATCCTTCCTTTCAATAAAGGTTCATAATTTTAATTTCACATTATAAAGGTCAGAATTTTTAATAAAAAAAAATTCTTGCAGTAAAGTTTGTTTATTTATGCATGAATTGTTACACGCCATTGAAATGAATTATCTTCTTTCAGATGTTTACCATGATATTATATCTTTTTTATAATAAAAAGGAATGTGACCTATTTATTTGCAGATAAAAAAAAAACTAACGAAAAAATAAATGAATTTTTTTTTTAAGTTTAAGCACTAATTTTCTCTGTAATACAAATTAATGAAATTATTACAACTTCATTTGTTCGTTTATTAATTGCTACATTTGTGGCGGTTTAATTTTTTTTCATTAAAAACAATCGCCAAAAAAAGGAAAGCATTATTATTCAAGAAAAGAATGAAATTATCCAGGGGGAGACGAATGGTTTTCTTTTCGCGTTTTCATGTTGAAATGTTAAAAAGAATCGTGTAGCACTTTGTAGTCAAAATATTTGTTAAAAAGCACACAGCGACATTCTTTAATTACCGCAGTTAAGTGAATCGGGTTTCGTTTTTTTATTTTTTTTTTGATTACTTGTTTGTTTTTGATCGGTACAACCGCTCTCGTTAATTCGTTCGTAGATCCTTTATCAATCAAGCAATCAACCCTGAAAGACATTTTAAGATATTTAAGGGTATGGCAAAGAAATTTTAACAAAACTAATGAAAGTGACACAAAACTCTTGTTTTGATAGATCTCAAACAAAACAAAGGATACGTAACCAGACCAACTTTGGAAATTTTTTCTCACTTTTGGTATAAAAGTGGGGACAATCCCGCATGCAAATGCCATTGATCAATTTACAATTAGTTTTATTTTCGGAATGAAAAAAAAAATACATCGCATGTAAGTTAATTATTTACTGTGGAAATTTTAGCCACCAGATTACATTGCATAATAATTATAATTAAAAATTTTTATCTAAAATTAGGGATTAAAAAATTATAAAAATGACTTTTCCAGATTTATTTTTTTTATTTTTATCAAATTTTTTTTTTTCCTGCAGTTTGTTTTTTCTGCATCTTGATAATTTCGCATACAGACACGCTATCGGCCATTCTGGACTGAGAATAGTTCATCTATCAGATGAATGGTCACTAAAACCGGCAACCTATGTGCTTTCCTTCTTTATTCCTTCTCCTGGTGTTGAAATCACGATAAATTGACTAAAATGCATCATCTATTAATGTGCAATTAATTTCGAATTCATTGAAAAATATATTCACACTATATCACACGATAATACTCAATGGGCAAACGCAAATGCCTTTTTTCCTTTTCTTTATATTAATATGTTAAGCTTTGAAACGAGATATCATTGAAACAAAAGATTAAAAGGAAGTTGGCATGAAAAGCATAATTGTACAGCCACCAAAAGATTACATTCTACATAGCATATTCGGATGCGTATTTATAGCAATTTGATTTAACGTATTGCTATCCGTACCGTGTTTCCCCGCAAATTTCCAGCTTCCAAATTCTGATAAAAAAAAATAAAAAATTAACTCCGTTCTCACCGTCTGCATGTCAAGTTTCATTCTTATGTCGTATAACCATCTTGTTCAATAAGTCATACATGAAAAGATTCCAACGGCAGATATTTCTTCCAAATATTCAAAATTCTTTCTTCATTTAAATAAAGTTTATTTTTTTTTTTATGGAGATTTCGTTAGTCATTAATTGTTGGAAAAAAAAACTGATTGTACTCCTTGTTTGCCATATTTTATTGAAAACAATAATAAATAAATGTATGCGTAAATTGCGATACAGCTCATTTCGCCTTTGGACAAAATCTAAATATCTTTTTACCAAGTTCAATGATCATCCCACCTAAGGCTGCGAGGGGTAAACATCCGCCTCTATTAGGATCATTTGGGTTTTCAGGAGATGTGAATGGTTCAGGAGTTGGTTGATAATCAGGGTTATTTGGAACGCTTTGATCTATATTTTGTGAATTCTTGGACGTCATCATATATATTATGATTATCTTGATCTTTGAATATTGAATTGTGAAAATATGGTATATATTTTTTGGTTTTTCAAAGAAATAATGCTCTAAACAATTGTTTTATGAATTAAAAAATTTATTTATATCTTATTTCTTTGTATTCGAAGAAAGTTCAAAAACCTACGAAAAGAATAGCACCTATAAAACTAAAAATGTAAAGTACGAAATTGTTACATCATCTAAAGATGATAGGATAATGACGTTCTATGATTAAAAATTCTTAACAATACGTAATAACGTGGCACTTCAACACCACAAAATACAGCGAATTAGCGTCAGAACAATATTCCGAGTTGCTTGGCTAAAATAGTATCCAATGAATTAATAGGCGTTTTTTTTTCCACATTGTTATTAGTGACTTAGTTCATAAAATTCCAAATCATATTTTTTATTAATGATTCAATTAAATATGATTCATAATTTTTACCAATCCATTTTGTTACTTTGTATAATTGTATTAGAAATTAGAAATTATTAATATAGCATTATTTTGAAGTATATAGTAATACATTTACAATATATATATTGAAATCAAGATTATAATCAGCTTAAGATAGAGATTAATAATTACAGTTTAATTTATACTATTAAAAATTATAAATTATTTTAAATATTATATTAATTTATTTTTTATTATTTTAGCAGTTTCTTCCCTTTTTATTGCAAAGATCTTATACTATAGTATTTTATATATTAAAAGACTTTTTTTAAATTTATAAATAAAATATTAAAATAGATATATCAATATTAGAACATATAGATCATTTGCTATTTAAATTATATTATAAAATATTATAAATCATATAATCAGAATAATAGCAAACTTCCTATATATTAAAATTTTAATTTAAATATAAATCTAAATTAATAAAGCTATAAATAAATTTTAAAAAATTAATATAATTAATATTTAATTTAAGTATTTATTTAATTTTTATAAATTTTTTTAATAAAAAAATTTATTTAAATATTTTAAAAATTTTTATTAATTATTTTAGATCTTATAATAAAAAATTATAAATATTTTACAAATTTTAATATAAAATATTATTATATTTTTAAATCATTTCATAATAATTATATTAAAAATGTATTTTATATAAAATTTATATTTTTTATATATTTTATAAATTTATAATTATATTATAAGAAGTAGTTTGCACTATATATATAATACAACCTATTTTTAAATTATTACCTACTTAAGGAATCAGATTATGAAAATACTTATCAGATTATGAATTTACTTATATTTACCTACTTACTGTTTATAGTATTCTGTATTATCTTGTAGCTATCTACTTATTTTTATTATTTTGTGACTTTTTATTAACTTATAGCTATTTGCTTGTTTTCATTACTTTGTAACTTTCTTTACCTTCCAGATATTCAATTGTTTTTAATACTCTATGTTTTTTGTAGTTAAAATGCTAATTAGCTGATTATAAATAATATTGTTGCAGTCAGATGAATCAGGTGATATAATAGATCATATAATTTCATTTTATTTAATTTAACCAACTCTATAGTATAATTCTGGTTGATCTTTAGGACACATGATTTAAAGGATCTAATTTAACATTATAGAGCTGATGAAAAACTAGTAGAAAATTAAAGTAATTCTATTAATTTGTCAATTCTAAATTACTTTTATACCAGTTTATGCTAAGTTATTATATTAAAAATCTAGTTAAAATTATAGAATAGTATTGGCTGAAATTAGCAAATTTATATACACAAAAAAATTAGATTGCATGCTAGTTTCTAGTATCTTTCCGCTTTCTTCTGACTTTATTTGAATATAAGATAAATCAAAAAAAGAATACTATATCATCACTTTAAATGTCTTAGTAATTATTAGTAACTATTAGTTACCAAATATAATACTATATATCAATAATGAGTTTTAGACTTATTTTTAGTTTTAAATATTTGGACAAGATTTTAGACATATGAAATTGTATCCAAAAACTATCCAAAACTAAAAATAGGCACTATAAGTACTATAATTAAAAAAAATGATGCAATTGAGTAGTAACTTGTGATACAATTAAATTTTCTTATGGTGCAATTAAGTTGTAACTCAATTGAAATTTGAAAATAATTATAAAGATCATTTTTATCCAAAACTATTCAAAATTGTTTAATTATCCAACACTGCTATATATCTTGCTCATAATTTTAGATTAATCTAATTTATATTACAATTTACTATCATTATCACTCATTCATAAATATTTTATGTCAATATCTATTTGTGAGAATTTTTTATTAAGATTATTACTACTTAATGCTTGTTTTTTATTTTTATCACACCAAGTAGGATAATTCTGGTTTAAAGTAATACAACATAATTATTTGCAAAGAATGTCTTTAGATTATATTGAAATATAATCTATTATGAATCGATCAGCAAAATAAAACACTTTGTTAGAGTTAAGGTTGCTTGTCTAAACTCATTTTGGATTTGGCAAAATGGTAAAACCTTTAGTTTCGCTAAATTTTTACTAAG